TAAAACTGGACTGCAGAAGAAAACTGTCTTAAGTCAGGTGTTAATAACAGCATCACCCCGGTCGTGTTCAGGCTGTTGTCTGAAACGGACAGCAGCCCTTGAATCAACTGCGTACACATTTTTTTTAACTGATGTTCCTGGGATTACACATTCTGGTTAAACACTTAAAGCAAAAGTTATTTGCTACTGTTGGTGGATCCAGCTTAAAAACATATAGCAATTAAAAACATATAGCTATTAAACAAAATAGCAAAAATGGAAATCAACCACAGCATTTCCCATGCTTTTAAGTGATTTGCTGATAAAAAATCTCTGAAAAATAATTCTGGATGCCCAGAATGTGTTCTTCCATGAAGACAGGAAAAAAAAAGGGGGGGGGGCCCATAAAGGAGGTGGGCCGGGCGCCATATCTTGGTCAGAATTGATCCAGTGGGCCATTCTATTTTTAATGCAGCTTTGGCAGAAAAAACAATGAGACGTGGCTTGGACGTTGTGTCCTCGGGGCTGGATTCGGGTGTCTGTGTAAGGAAAGGCGAGGCCCTCAGTCTGTCCGGGGAAGATGCTCTATGGTTCGCTAACAGCGCTGTTACAGCAGAGCACACACAAGGAAACACAACACGGCCGCCACGTCTGGATACTCGGACGGGAGGCAGGACCGACGCGAGTGCACACGTGGGCCTGGTTTGCAATAACTGCCGTCGGGTTTCCCGAATGACCTGCGCGGTCGGCACCTGCCCGGCGTGTGGCAGACCCTCCTCACCGCCCGTCCCTCCTCCGCCGAGATCCTTTCTTTGATTGTCTCAGAGCTGGTGCCAGCGGGAGCTCATTCATTCTAAAGACACGGTTCAGAAGCCCGTTCGGGAATGGCGAAGCCTGAAGGAGGGGCAACACAGCACCCAGATGAGCAGCCAGAGGCCCACGCACACCTCATACACATGCAGGGGCTGAAACGCAGCTGTTTGCCCTGTGAATGCGAAGACAGCTCACACTCCATCACAGGCAGCTCCACACGGAAAGCTCCACGCATTCCACGTCCCGGGTAGAAAACCTGCCACCACCCGGGGGCGCCACCCCCAGACCAGCTGGAACATGGCTCTCCCCCAGCCGTCTCTAGACCCAGACACGGAGCCTCTCCTGCGCCTAATGTTTGTGTTTTCGGGGGGCGGGGGGGGGGCAGCAGAGAGCTGTGCACTGCTGTTTTCCCTGAGATAATGTATCCTACTGCCCAGTACACGCCCTGGCTGTGCTTCTGTGTGCGCTCAGCCGTCAGAGCTGTGGTTTCGCGTGGGTGTGAACTCTGTAAATGACACATCTTTAGCAGGTGAGATCTTTCTGTTTAGACTGACTCCACCGATGGAGTCTACCCTCTCTCTTTCGTTTTGCGAACATGGTGAACACTCACCTGTAGGCCCTAAGGCAGCGGTTCTCAACCTGTGGGTCGCGACCCCTTTGGCGGTCGAACGACCCTTTCACAGGGGTCGCCTAAGACCATCTTGCATATCAGATATTTACATGACGATTCATAACAGTAGCAACATTACAGTTATGAAGTAGCAACGAAAACAATTTTATGGTTGGGTCACATGAGGAACCGTATTTAAAGGGCCAGAAGGTTGAGAACCACTGCCCTAAGGGGACCCAGTGCAACTGCGGCAAGACGGTCTTATGTCAGTGGTGACACACGGGAAACTCCTGTGCAGGGTCAAGGCCTGGGAGCCAATGACGCCTTCAAAAACGGCCCGCAGAGCAGGCCTGCGTCCTGGACTGCATTTCTCTGCTTTTACCTAAACCAGTGGTCGGCAAACTGCGGCTCGCAAGCCACATGTGGCTCTTTGGTCCCTTGAGTGTGGCTCTTCCACAAAATACCGACTTCTGCGCATGGGCCACGAAGTTTCAATCACACTTTACGTGCGTGCCCGCACGTGGTATTTTGTGGAAGAGCCACACTCAAAGGGCCAAAGAGCCACATGTGGCTCGCGAGCCGCAGTTTGCTGACCACTGGCTTAAACTGAGCCCCTGGGCACCACCACTTCTCCTGCCCAGCCTCCCCGACGGGAACACTCCTTCTGTATCCTCCCCCACCCCCGCCTTGGGCAATATAGCCTGCTATCACTTTGAAAATGGTGCACAGCAGGACCATTTTATAACTTCCAATTTATCCCTTTCCCACTGCAATCCTAAAATTCTAATGCAATTCAGTGGAAAGGTTTGTTCCTGACAAAATCAAGCTGCTGGTCACATTCATTTTGTTAAAGGGGAGTTTGTCAAAAAAGAAAAGCAGCCCAGCTGGTGTGACTCCACGGTTGACCACTGACCCATGAACCAGAAGGTCACAGCTCAGTTCCCGGTCAGGGCACATGCCCAGGTTGCAGGCTCGACCCCCAGGAGGGGTCATACAGAAGGCTGCCAATCAATTATTCTCTCTCATCATTGATGTTTGTAACTCTCTCTCCCTCCCTCTTCCTCTCTCTGAAATAAATAAAAACATATTTAGAAAAAAAAAGAAAAGCAATTTGAACTGCCATAGGACTATGCTTTCCATGTAAGACCCACTGGAGAAGCTGTGCGGAAAAAATTTGTATAAGGGATCATTTTTTCTACTGAATTTTACTATAATTGTAGAGGTGTGTTCCTACAGAAAATAGTTCTGCTTCAGCATCTCATGATAAAAACCACACTAAGGAACTCAGTGTTCATTTCAAGGATGATTTTGCATTTGTCAACATGCCACTTCTGTACACCAAATTCCCCCTTACGGTTTGTGCAGTGAACAAGGAACGGAAATGATTTTACACTTGCATTCCCCGCACAATACATGTCAGGCCACTGTTCCACTCCCTGGGCAGGATGCCCGGCTAGATGGGCATACTTTTCCATATGCTTTCAGAGCGACCAGCAGTTCCTGATTTGCATTTAGTGGTTGGGTTCTTTTCAGCAGATTAGACTCTATAGTAACTGATTATAAAAAGTTAAGCTCTTCTATTTGATAAGACTAACATGTGTGGGCAGAGGACCTGAACAGACTCTTCTCCAAAGAGGACATACAGATGGCCCACAGGTATATGAAACGATGCTCAACATCACTAATCATCAGGCAAACGTAAGTTAAAACCACACCTGTCAGAATGGTGTCATTAAATAAATCAACAATCAACAACTGCTGGTGAAAACGTGGAGAAAAGGAAACCCTCGTGCACTATTGGTGGGAACGTACATTGGAAAACAATATGGAAGCATGTCAAACTCACAGCTGGTAGGCCGCATGCATGCAGCCTGCTGGCCACGAGTTTGACATGCTTGGTATAGAGATTCCTAAAAAATTAAATATAGAACTACTATATGACCCAGCAATAACCCTTCTGAGTATTTATTAAAAACAAATCCAAAACACTAATTTGAAAAGATATAAGCACCCCTAGGTTAATTGCAGCATTATTAAAAACTAGAAGCCCAGCATGAGGTGGCCTGACATGTATTGTGCGGGGAATGCACGTGTAAAATCATTTTCGTTCCTTGTTCAGTGCACAAACTGTGACCAGAGTATACTTGTCTTGTATACTTGTTTCAGATAGACGAGTGTGGATGGGAGAGTTGGAAGGGGTTGACCTCAGCGAACGTACCTCAAAAAACAATGTACCTCCCCCGTGCTGTGTATCCCGCAGCCCGCCTGCACCGCGTCTCCCGTCGCCCGACCGACCGACACCCCCCACTTCTTCAAAATAGACTCGCCCAGGCCGAAAAGCGACTTCTGTGCGTGGGCCACGAAGTTTCAATCACACTGTACGTGCGAGCCTGCACGTGATATTTTGTGGAAGAGCCACACTCAAGGGGCCAAAGAGCCACATGGGGCTTGCGAGCCGCAGTTTGCTGACCACTGTGCTAAGTGATATAAATCAGACAGAGAAAGACACATACTACATGATTTCACTTATATGTGGAATCTAAAAGGCAAAACAAAACAGAAACAAACCTATAGATACAGAAAGCAAACGGATGGTTGCCAGATGGAAGGGGGGGTTGGAGGGCCGAGTGAAAAAGGTGGAGGGATTAAGAAGTACGGATCGGCAGTTATAAAAATAATAAATGAGACAGAGAAAGACACATACTACATGATTTCACTTATATGTGGAATCTAAAAGGCAAAACAAAACAGAAACAAACCTATAGATACAAAAAGCAAACGGATGGTTGCCAGATGGAAGGGGGGTTGGAGGGCCGAGTGAAAAAGGTGTAGGGATTATGAAGTACGGATCGGCAGTTATAAAAATAAATATGGGGAGAAAGCAAACGGATGGTTGCCAGATGGAAGGGGGGGTTGGAGGGCCGAGTGAAAAAGGTGGAGGGATTAAGAAGTACGGATCGGCAGTTATAAAAATAAATATGGGGATGCACAGTACAGCATAGGGACTATAGTCAGTAATACTGTAATAACCATGTGGGCTGTCAGATGGGTACCAGCCTTAGAGTGATCACTTTGTAAGCTATACATGTCGAATCACTATGTGTACACCTGAAGCTAATATAGTAGTGCATGTCAACTGTGATTGAAAAAGAAAAGGAAAAAAGAGAAAGAATACTACTTATAGTACTGATGTACCAATTGGCTAAGTTCATTGCAAATGTTTTCAAAGTTCCTCTTCAGTGACAGGTCTCAAAACAGCCTTACCACATGGGCAGAGGTAAACCCTCAGGGTTAGGCCTAAAACCAAGGCCATAGCATGCGCCCGAAAGTCTGTGGCTAACATATTAGGGCCGCACGCAGGACGTGAGACCTCAGGCACACGTGGCCTTCCCTCTCTGCTAACGGAACTTGGGCTTTGGGCGTCTCACTATATCACGGGTCCCTTTCAAGACCCTGAGTCCCTTTTGTCGTCTTTTTTAGAAAGGAGGAGCCCAAATTCTAGAGGCTCCAGGCCCCCCCGAACCTGGATCCCTTTAAGATTGTGTTATTATTTCACATCAGATCACAATATTGTGTCATCCAAGTATCATGTACTTACTCAAAGAACGTTGTCCATCCGGTTTCATCGCTTTTGGTGGCCAACAGGCCGCTGTTGCCGTGGTAAGTGAACAAAACCAATTCCAGCCCTTGCGCGGTCATGCTCTTCAGACACCCATTGGTGCCTATGGTCAGCCATATCACCTGGTTGTCCGGAGACACCACTCGGACCGGCATCCGGTTGGGGTCCCGCCTAATGCGGAGGGTGTTGCCGTTGCTGTCGGTCACGGCGGTGATGTCGTTGTCGTTGCTGTAGCTGAAGTTGTACAGGTAGTCCCCCGTGACCAGGCTCACGGTGTACTGGTGAGTGCCGTTGATGTCGAAGATGTAGAGTTCCTGATCGGTCGGAGAGGCCACTTCATAGAAGTTCATGGAGTTGAGGAAAGGCTTGTTCTTGGACACCGCCCGGATGCGAATGTTCCCCAGATCCGCGATGTACAGGGTGCCATCCGGAGACGCAGCGAGGGACGACGGGGCGCTGAGTTTGGCATCTTTGGCATAGCCGTCGCCAGTCTGATAGCAGTCGCAGTTGGCGTCGTTTTTGCAGTCACACTCCGACGGTATCCCGGCCACCAAGGAGATCTCCCCGTCGGTCGTGACCTGCCGTATGCGGTTGATTTTCTTTTCGTCGGTTTCCGTGATGTACAGGACCCCGCTGTAGGACACGGCGATGGCCGTGGCGGATTCCAGCGTCGTCTGGACCGCGTGCTTGCCCACGGAGTACTCCACCCCCGGGACCTGGCAGTGCATGGGCCGCCCGGCGGCGATGCGCACCTGGCGGTTCTCGGTGATCTGCAGGACCACGTTGTTGTCCAGCACGTAGATGGAGTTGTCCATGGGGTTAATGGCGAGGTCAGTGGGCCACTCCAGACGCACCTTCGGACAGAAAACAGAAACGGTCCGGTCAGTCAGCGGCTGCGATGCAGTTAACTCGCCAGAAGAGTAAATGAGACCGTTTGGGAAAATTACCCTTAATTTGAGAAGCTGTTTTAAAGTTGTCTTTTGAATGGCTACAGTAAAATAAACTTGAAAAGTCTGCACGAACACGAATGTAGGGAACAGCATTTTATTTAAAAAATGTAGCTTATTGGAAGATTTGCAAGTTACAGCCAAATGGGCAATGAGCCTCTAAATAGAGAGTTAATAGATATCAATGAGGTATGAACGCAGATGTTTCCGTTAGCAGTAATAACCAGCAAATGGCAGGCTTTCTACCTCGTAAATACATTCAGGTTCTATTGTACTTCCAGTAAGGCCCATAGTAAAGTTCCCAACTCTAAATGTAAGTCCCTTGGGACCAATCGTAGGGGGTTCTCTCTACTGCGTAAGGAGATCGTGTAATAAAAGGATTCGAGGTTTAAGTGGTTTTGTTCTTTTTGGAATCTCTGCATGCTGCTACTTTAACTGGTATTTTATTACAACTGCTTAGCATTTCTTAGTGGTAATTCTTCTGTAAATCGTTGAATTCATCAAATGCAGAACTATAGAAGAAAGTAACTTTTGCCCGGCCAGCGTGGCTCAGTGGTTGAACATCGACCTATGAACCAGGAGGTCACGATTTGATTCCTGGTCAGGGCACATGCCCGGGTTGTGGGCTCCATCCCCAGTGTGGGGCGTGCAGGAGGCAGCCAATCAAGGATTCTCTCTCATCACTGATGTTTCTATCTCTCTCTCCCTCTGAAATCAATAAAAATATATTTAAAAAGAAGATAATTTTTTATTAGCTCCTAAGATACACTTAAAGGGGGCAGCTTTATCACAACACTGCCACCCATGACGCTGGCAGTTTGACACGGTGCCATCACAGCCTACCGACTCAGCAATGAGGCCCCCGAGAAGAGAAGCCGTTCAGCGGACTCCGAACTACCTGGCTGATGTGCATGCTCGTGTCACAGGTTAAAGGTCTGGCTGACGTCAGGTCATTGGAGCCCAGGAGGGTCGAGATGATTCCGTTCTGATCAACTTTTCTGATCATGGTCCCATCAACGAAGTAGATCAATCCATTCTTATCAATTGCCATGCCTTGGTCCAAGAGAAGCAAGGGTTAGTAAGTTTTCAAAAACGATTCAACGTCTGATTCAACGTGTAGGCCTATCACTAAACTCAACAGCTCACCCCAGTGATAACGTGGGCGGCAGGTAGCAGGTAGGACAGTAGATTGCAAACACATTAGGAAAAACCCAACATAGGCGTGTCCATAATACAAACACATGTGAACGGTAATGAAGAAATAACCCGCATTTGTGAGAATTCCCACTTGGTGTGTGAAACATATACGTAGCGCTTGGGCATTAAACATGAGACTATAACTTGGGTGTTAAACATCAAACGACAATGTCTGCATAATGTTGTCTATAAATTATAGAAATAGGTCAAATTCAGTCACACGGAGCTTCCAGTAACTAGCATAGTCCAACGAACATAGATGCAAGCCAAGGTGAGTATTCTGTTGACCTTGCTCTAACGAAATTGGCTATTATGAATAATTCAGGACAGCAAATACTTTTTCCAGTCACTGTTCACAAAACAGCTGCTAGCTATAATGAAAAAAAAATAGAGCCCTCAACCCAAAACACCGTAATGAATGGCATAATACATGAGCCAGGAGTCAGTCCCAACGGGTTTCAAAGCTAGAAACCGTCCTCACATAGAATTCAAGCTCTTGTTCTCCCCAGAAATTCCTCCCAGCAAGCATTTTTTCCCAGGGCATAGAAACAAAAGTCTAGCAGCTCCAAACGGGGTGCGGGCTAATAGGGCTGCTTAGCGGTGGTTTTCAAAGAGGCCTGGGACTCATTCATGGCAAAGAAATTCCAGGACAATGAAAGAATTCGGGCACTTCCTTGACACTTAATGGGATGTGACTGAATAACAGTAGCTGCTTTATTCTTTGCAACGTTGGAAAAAATGGTATGACAATAAAACAATGCCAAGAACCTAATATTTACTATACAATCAGCTTAGGATTCTAGCAGGCTCACGTTCAAGTTCCACGGCTTTTACAAACACTAGGTGTGCAACAGCGTCCCAGACAGAGCTGAGGGTGAAATGTGAGACTCAGTTTTAAGCCCCATCGGCACTAAGCAGATTGTCTACCTTTTTTTTTTCTTTTTTAAATAGAAGGAAATCCCGAAATTGGTAAATGCCGGTACCTTTGGGACTCATGAGTGTCGCCTCCACAGCCTTGCCTCCGTCCCCACATCTGGCTTCATCGAAGGGCAGGCATTGCTCCCCTGTCCCCGCGACCACGTCAGCATTTTTCGTCAAGTCCTTCGCCCCCGTCAGCGACTTGGGGCGATAAATCCTGCGGGTGTTAGTGTCCGAAACGTACAAGTCTCCGGTGACGGGGTCGGTGGCCAGGTAGTATCTATGAGCTGGGTTGCTGCTGTAAGAAAGGATCATACGTGAGCCCCGCCATGTATGGGGAGTTACTCCTAATACGCAGAGAAAGTAAGAGCAAAACAGCCCACCATGGGCAACACTGCAACCTGCAGTCAGTACCAAAGACCTGAAGATGAGCGGCGTACTCACAATGACCTACAGGAGAGACCTGATAGCAGCCCAGCCGGCATGGCTCAGTGGTTGAGCATCTACCTATGAACCAGGAGGTCATGGTTTGATTCCCGGTCAAGGGCACAGGCCCGGGTTGCAGGCTTGACCCCTAGTGGGGGGACTGTAGGAGGTAGCCGATGAATGATTCTCTCTAATCATGGATGTTTCTAGCTCTCTCTCCCTCTCCCTATTTTTAAAAAAAGAACTGGTAGCAATCTCTGACATGACTGTTCCTTCCTGGCCATCTTAAAAATAATTACCTTCAGGAGACCATCTGCTTCTTGCCTAAAAGACGGAAGCAAGTTCTCTAAATCTCTGTGGTTTGGTGCAAAGCCATGAAAAAATTGCCCTTGAGTGACAGGCACAAAGCTTGCTCCAGGAAGGTGCTGCTCTCAGACTCTCCTGTGAAGTCCATACACCTTCAATTTCACCTGCACCTCATCACGGGGGACTCCCCTGTTTTCTCCCTACAAAACCCAACCAAACCGAGCAGCTGCCCCTGAAAAACCATAGCATCATGTTCGTCCTGGTTGCGCTATTGTAATCTGGCAAAGTTGGTTTCAGAACTATTAACTAGTGCAAATATATACTATTTTATGTCCTACTAGAGGCCTGATGCACGAAATTCATGCAAGGGGCTTGGTCACTGCTGCTGCAGCGGCTGCCTCTGCCTCTGCCTTGGCCCTTGCAGCCCCGGCTTTGTCCGGAAGGCGTCTGGAAGGTCGTTCGGCTGTCCAGTCTAATTAGTATATTACGCTTTTATTATTATAGATTACCTGTGAAAAATGGAAAGACCAACGTCATCAACAAATGGACTAATTCTGGCAGCTCCCTACAAACACTCAGCCCCACATGCTTAGAATTAATGTAATTTTGCACTGTGTGCAAATACGGCCTCTGGAGAAAAAATTCTCAAAGGCATTTCAGTGATTGGGAGTCGGAACAAAGATGTCAACAGGTAGGAATCCACTGGGTTCCATGTGTCTCCTGCTGACAAACTTGGTCTTACTGCATCTCATTCATTCTCTCCCCCCCCAGTTATTTTCTTGTCAGCTGTATATCTATGAGCATGACTTCTGAACCTCACTTCATCACAAACTGTGCGAGCTTGGGCAAGTTACCTTGCTTCTCCGTGCCTCCAATTCCTCACTGGCAAAGGTGGTGATAATAATCCATAGGCTGCACGGACTAATCCATGTAAAATGCTCAGAACACGGCCTAGCACACAATTCACACTCAGAAGCATGAGCTATCCTCCTATCTGCTTGTGTCCCAGCTCCTCGTACACTGCAATGTGTCAGTTGCTTTGTAGCGCTATTCAGTGTTAACTAACATATGGTTTGCCTTCTGAACTGCTGCTGCAGCGGCTGCCTCTGCCTCTGCCTTGGCCCTTGCAGCCCCGGCTTTGTCCGGAAGGCGTCTGGAAGGTCGTTCGGCTGTCCAGTCTAATTAGTATATTACGCTTTTATTATTATAGATTACCTGTGAAAAATGGAAAGACCAACGTCATCAACAAATGGACTAATTCTGGCAGCTCCCTACAAACACTCAGCCCCACATGCTTAGAATTAATGTAATTTTGCACTGTGTGCAAATACGGCCTCTGGAGAAAAAATTCTCAAAGGCATTTCAGTGATTGGGAGTCGGAACAAAGATGTCAACAGGTAGGAATCCACTGGGTTCCATGTGTCTCCTGCTGACAAACTTGGTCTTACTGCGTCCCTCTCTCTCTCTCTCTCTCTCTCTCTCTCTCT